CGCGGCGGCCCCGGCCACAGCGGGGCGCGGGGCAGAGAGGGACACGCCGTGATGACCAGGAGCCAGTTCAGCCTGAAAACAGCAGCCGCGCGGGCGGCTGAGATCACAGAAAGCAGAAGCCAACGGGAGAAACGCAACAGGCGAAGCCACCGTCACGGACGACAGTTTAGCATATCTGTCCCAGCGACCGAAAGTAGCAAGAACACAGATTCGAGCAGCACAACGGCCAAGCTGACGAGAAGGACAGACACAGCACCCCACATCCAAGCACTGCGGGGTGCACACCCTCACCGAGAGCACGCGGGCGCCTCCCGGGGAGCTCGGGCTCGAACTCCTAGCGCAGGCTAACGCGCCACGGCGGGGTCGGATCCCAGCGGATCTCAGAGGCAGGAGGACAGGACAGGGGCAAAACCGCCAAACGTTTGGCAACTGAGCAGCTGCCACCCAAACAGCGCGCTCGTAAGTGACCACGTCAAGGCAGAAAGCACAGGAAAAACCAAAATGTATTTCGCATCGAATAAGGAAAGCACAGCAGATTACGCAGCCCCTGGAATGCACAGGAGTCGCCATCGGAGGGGACTTCGCAGCGTGTCGAAGGGTCGAATGTGAAGAGAGGCACCGAAAATCAGCGATGCAGCGTCCCGTTCCAGAAGCCGGAACGAGACCATCCAAATCAAAGCGAAGCACGGAGAGGGCGAGACAGCGTCTAAAAGTCCGAGGGGCGGACACAGAAAGGCGGTGGAGAAAATCCCCAGCCCGGACTCCGACTCCGAGAAAGGGCTCGCGACGTGGGGGGACCACGAGCGACATCCTTGAAAATATAATTTACCAAAATGCCCACAAAAAGAAACAGAAAGTCTGAATAGTCCCATATTTCTTGAGGAAATTAAATTCACGGTAGGAAACCTTTCTGCCTAGAGAACTGCAGACCCAGCCGGCCGTTTGGAAAGAACCCGCCACGGGCGTCTTGCCCCAGGTGGTTCACATTTTTCGAAGCTGCGTAAATCGTGTTGTAAAGTTAACTCTCGTGTTCTAAACCGTCTGTTGCGGGGTGTGGAAATGAGACCGATTTCGGAGTCGATTTCGGAGTCAGACCTCGTTGACCACTCCCCTTCGTCCCGAGCGCCGGGCGCCACCATGTCCCGCACCCCGGGCGACGTGTGACCCTTCTTTCCCGTCCTGCGGGGCGGCTTTCCTCCTGGCTGGCGAGCGTGGAGGACAGAGCGAGGGGCCTCTGGCCGGCTCTGACCTGCGGGGTCGTTGCCCAGCCGCCTCGGCAGCAGCTCCATCTCCCGCGGCTGTGTGGGTGCCGCCTCAGGTTAGGGACCCTTGCCTCGCCCCCATTCTCGGCGTGCAAAGTTTTCCTCCTTGCTCGGTCTGACTTCCCGGAGGCGGAGGCGGAGGGGGCACGAGCCCCCGCCCCCTGTGCTGAGCAGCCCCTGGCCGGCTCCTCCAACACTCCAGCGGGGCCTGGACCGGCGCCCCCCTGAGTTTAGCGGCATTCAGCTGGTGCCTTGTGTTTGGGATGGTTCCAGTTTTGTTGGTGACAGGCTGGCTTCTCGGCCTGGTTGGTGGGCCTGGGGTGAGGGGAAGGACACGGTTGATCACCAGCTCCTCCAGCGCCTACTCCTGGGACTTGAGGGTCTCAGTGAGGAGGTGGGGGTTGGGGGTCTGCCCTGACTGTGGGTGGGGTGCCGTTTCTGGGCCGGGGGTCCCAGCCAGGGGACGTCAGGGGACACAGCTGTGGTAGGGGTCTCTTCCAGCACTGTGGGCCTTGCCCAGAAAGGAGGGGGAGCAGAGCAAAGGAGGGGTGGTCCAGACAGCCAGGCTCCCTCCGCGGGATGTGGCCAGGGGTCGGCAGGCCATCAGGAGGCCTGACGGGGACGAGAGGTCAGAACAAGTCTTCCTCAGGAGCTCAGCGGAATCAGGGACTCCCCGTCCCCAAGGGTGGAGGGGACGCCAAGCCAGGGTCACAGGGGTCAGGGCAGGTCCAGGACCCCTAGGACCTCGACCCTGCCCCAGACCCCCACCTGCTGGGCCCCAGCAGTGGGAGGGGATCGGGTTGTGCCGGCGACCTCAGCCCTTGGCCACCGTCCAGCAGGTCGGAGGTCACGTCCTGGGGATAGTGGCCGAGGAGGCAGCGTTGGAGGTGCTGGCTTGACACACGGCTCCCACAGATGCCTCTCGCTTGGCGATGGGCTGGAGCGGCCCTCGGCCTAGAGGCACCACAGGCTGACCCTGGAAGAGCCCGCGCTGGAGGTTCGTCGTGACAGCGATCAGGTCGGACCCGGCCAGTGCCCGCTCCCCGAGGGCCTGGGGTCTCGGCGTCTGGCGCATGGCGGGTGCTCGGCCGCAGTCGCTGGCTGGGAGTGTCTGAACTGGGGCCCTTCCCGTCTTCGGGAGCTAGCGTGAGACCATGCTGGGCGCCGAGGGCCTGTGTGTGCGGCCTGCACGGCTTAAACTTGACTCTCATCCCTCCCGTGTCGTCTGCAAAAGCATCGATTCTGAACCCTTATTGACAAGACGTTTTTCAAGACACATGGATGATTTTCATCACTGGAATTTACTGCGATGGACCAGAAGCGATGTTTTTCCCTTTTATTGTCTTAATTTTGAGGTTCAGTTGCTCGCGGCAAGCTACTAGATTGCAGCACCTTTGGGACTGTTCATTCGTATTCTGTTAAGATTCCAAGTGCGCCGTGTGGTCACGGTGTCTCCGCGTGCGCTGCGGGCTAGACGTGGGTGCCCCCCTTTGTATGCTGCACTGTGGTCCCCACGGTGGCTGTGCTTGGGGCCTCGGAGGGTGACGAAGGCTAACTGACCTCAATGGTGGAGCCTGACCCAGTAGGGCCGGGGCCCTTACGTGAAGAGGGGAGACAGATGTCCCGTCCCCTCTCCCCTCATGCCTGCGCCCCAAGGAAGGGCCATGCGAGGACACAGTGACCGTCCCCAAGGCAGGAAGAGGCCCTCGCCAGCACCGAGGCCCTGTCAAACTCGATCTTTTTCTCCAGAATTGTGAGAAAGTAGATTTCCGCTGTTCAAGCGGCACTCTGCCCGCCCGTGGCAGTTTGCTCTAGACAACCTGCGGGCAAGGCCAGGCCCCCCACCGCCCCACGGAACCCCCAGGTGATCCAGACACTGGGGCGCAGGGCGGGGCGGCCTCGTGGTGCTGCTCAGGCCTGCCTGGTGGCCCTGGTGACTATGGCTGTCATCAGCTCATCGCACCCCCTCAGGGCCCTGATGGCATGACGACCCCTCCCGGCACACACACGCCCAGGCCTCTGGCTGCACTGGGCCACAGGGAGAGCGGGCTGCGCCCTGCACAACCCCAGGGGGCGCTGCTCACAGTGGTAGCCCTGGAGAGCTGGCTCCTGCAGCTCTACCTAAAGCCACACAGCCCGGTTAGAGGAAGAGCTGCTGCCGGCCCCTGGCCCCACTGGGCGCAGACGCAGTCATCGACATGTGCCCACCGACCTTGCAAGCGGCTCGCCTGAGTCTGCTGCCCTGCGTGGCCACCCACGCCCCCCAGGCCATTCAGAGGCTTGCTTCCTGTCAAGTCCCCTCGGTCCTTGGGCAGCCGGTGGCCACCCGTGTGGCACACCGTCTGATGGAAATGGCCAGCCTCAGCCTTCCCTCTGAACCGCAAACCCTTCTGCCTCCAAACTGCCTCCTGGGTCCCGGAAGGAGCTGCTCCCAGGGGAATGCCGGGAGCTCTTCGGACAGGTGCTGGTGAGAACCCTCGAGGGCGGCGTGACTGAGGGTCACTGGCCATCACAGTACATGCCATTCTGGCTGGCCTTGGCCTCCCTTTGGAATGCGAGGGCATCATCTTCAAAGATGACACCCTTGCACAGGCCCCACCCAGGGGGCGTGGGGTGGGTGGGTGTCTGCTTGCAGGTCATCTGACCACGCCCAGCTGGCTCTGCCTCTGGGACAGGAGGCTGAGGCTGGAGCTGGGAGCGACCACCCGCCCACCGTGACCCCCACACAGGGCCATCCTGGCAGCTTCCAGGCCCATAGTCCCATTGCCAGGTGCTGAGGCCCAGACCCTGGGCTCAGCTTGGTCCCGACACCTCTCCTAGGCTCATGACGACCCCCGAGGCTGGCCTCCCTCCCTCACCCGGGGTCCCTGGGCTACCACAGAGGCCTTATGGCTAGAAAGTCTCCCAGGGACCCCCCAGCGAAGACCAACACTCTCTGCAGCTCCCTCCAGATGGTCACTCAGCCTCACCCACCATTCTGCCGGGTCACCCAGTTGAGCATGATTTGAGCTCATTCTCTCTCCACATGACTGATGACCACCTCCCATCCACCAGAAACCAAGGAATGAAGTCATCCAGCCCAGCACCATCCTTGCCTCCTGAGATCCCGACACACACTCAGATATTAGAAGACGCAGCCATCTGCCCCCACCGCCCCCTGCCCACTCATCCAACCCAACCCGCACCTCTGCGGGGCGCTGTGTGTCAGGTACTGTTTTGGGCACTGGGATGCAGCCATAAGCCTGAGGCCTCCGTGCAGCCCGCGGGGAATGGACAGCCCCACGGAGAGGGCAGTCAACAGCAAGTCGAGTGGACAGAGTGTCAGAAACTGTGGAGGAACATGAGGGGGGGACCGAGAGGTCAGCAGATGGGACACAGAGGTGACCTTGGTGCAAAGCCCCTAGGAGCTCAGGGACCGTGGAGTGGAGGCCCGCAGAAGACGGGGCACCGGCCAGGGGAGTCTCGGGAGGGTGGGGGGGGGCCTTCCCTTGGAGTTGGAGGGTCCAATGGGACGGCCGACAGGGCAGGCGGAAGGGGTACAGGCGGGCGGGCGACCAGGGCCGCCGTGCTGAGTGGTGGCTGGTTCTGTTTGTCTTTTGCAGGTAGAGCAGACAGGTTTGCTGAGGTGGGGAACGGTGGGAGCTGAAGCAGAGGCCAGGTGTGCTTCCTAGGTGTGGGGCTGGACAGACATGGGGCAGCTCCTGCGGAGGCCGCAGGCTGGGTTTGGAAGAGTGAGGTGCCCCTGCATCGTGGGGTCTGACAGGCCCACGGCCCAGGCAGCAGGGAGCTGACGTGGACCCCACCTCCATGTCAACCTAAGCAGAACCCTGCCCTGGAAAGGACGTTCCAGGCCCTAGCCAGAGGTGGGGGCAGGGCCACTGGGCGCTGATGTCGGGGGAGGCGTGGCCCCCCCTGGGGAGGAGCAGCCATGGGCTTGGCTGGGTTGTGAGGCTGCAGGGGCCCTGGCTTTTGACAGGTTGTGGGATCCTGTTAAGAAATGCGGGTTCCCTGGAGGGCAGCAGGAGCCCAGCAGCCTGGTGCCCTCAGGCCCTTGGGCCCCCAGTGCAGTGCGCACAGCCCGGGTCCTGGCTTGGGGCGACGGTTTCCACGGCGGCTGAGCTCCCGGTTTCCACTCGGGAGCTGAGCGCATGCCACTGAGGGGCGTCAGAGGCACCAGGCGCCCACCACCCTGCAGCCAGAGGGACCCCGGCGCAGCCCGCACCCCGGCACAGCCCGACACCCCTGAGGCGGGCGCTGTGCTCCGCCCCCAAGGGAGGCTGGCCCATTGCCCTGCGGCCAGACCGCCGCACAGACCTCGCGGCCTGTGCCCTGCAGACCCAGGCTCCAGGACAGGGCGGGAGCAGAGAGGGCGCAGGCCGTGCGGGAGGGGGACAGAAGGGATCGGGCGCTCGGGGGTGGGGAGGTGAGGTCAAGCGGCCGGTCAGACCCGGCTGGGCGTGCCGGGCGCGCGGCGGTGTCTGAGCTCGCGTGCGCGCAGCGGGGGCGGGAAGGCCCCGCCCCGGGGCGGGAGGGGGC